GGGGGATGTTGAAACTGGGAGCCTCTACACAAATACAATAAAGCAATCAAAATAAGTGTCAGTTTTATTTTAACAAGAATAAGGGCGTATACGCAAACAGTCGTGCAAGTGGATCAAAAATTACCCGGATCGTCTTCGATGCGGACGAGGTCAAGAATTTCCTCGGTGGGGGGAGATAGAGTTTTGTGGGAAAGAAGGCCACAGAAATGGAGGAGGTTATCGTTTTGAAGAAGTGTATCGGACGCAACGGACTTGGAATTCCAAGTATGGATACGCTGGTCGAAGAGAGGATTTGAAGGAGGGGCCGAGGCTGCCTCTCGTGAGACCTCCTTGACCCAAGGAATGGAAGTCCAAGAGAAAGGGGCGTCGGGTCGGACATATATGAATCTATCAATCCACTTAGGAAGGTTGGTAGGGATGTCATTTATGAAGTGAGCGCCGTTGCGGCTTTTCAGGTAGAGGCCTCGATCTTGCTTGGAAGGGCCATAGCAGTAATGGAAGAAGTCCAGGTCAAATGGACCTAGACAGATGCGGCAAAGAATAATGAAAGTGGTTATGAAACGGATGGCGTTGGGGGGAAGTTGATGCAAAGGAAGGGAGAACCACTCGCAAATGCGGAGTATTTCGGGGCTTAAAGGAAAGCGCAAGCCAAGCTTGAATTGGATCTCGAAAAAAGTGTAACAATCCTGGGGAGGATGGTCGAATTTATCAGAGGAAGAAGGAAAAAGGAATGTCCAGCTAAAAGGCTGACCGATCCTATCAGGATTGAACCAAGGGTGAGAGAGGGTAGTAGAAGAAGAAGAAGAACGTTTGGAAGGCTTTTTGGTCGAAGATCGTTTGGGTGGAGAATTTGAAGAGGGAGGAGCAGCAGGTTGCGGAGAAATAACCTCGTCCTCCTCTGGCTCGTCTAACGCACCGAGAGGAGGTCGACGGTGGCGGAGGGGAATGTTATCCATGATATCCCCGGAATTTGAAGAGGCAACGCGGGCTGTAAAAACACGAGTAGGAATAGTATCACCGGGGCGAAGAATCGAGAGAGGAACGGCTTCAAGTGCGGAAGGCAAGACCTCAACCGAATCAGAGGAGGTGGTCGAGGTAGTAGGATCTGAAAACAAAAGAAGAAAGAAGCAATATCAAAAAGAGGAATTTTGGCAAGAGAGGAAAAACGTAGGAGGAAAAGGTTTTCAAAATTAGGGTTCCACGAAAGGGGCTATTTTGAAGAAGAGGAACAGGGATTCCGAGAGAATTTCAAAGGGGAAGGACGAAATCTCCAACGATCAACAGACGAGCACAAAAATTCAATGCACAGATTCAAAACACTCAATCAGCAAGCTTCAGATACCCAATTCAAAAAAAAAAAAGAAAGAAAAAGTTTCTCAAAACACAAAAGCCCAGATACAGGAAGTACAAAAATCAGGAGAAAAACAAATTACTCATAGTCGCGGAGGAAAGAATCGGGAAAATTTGAAGATTGCAGGAAGAATCGCCGACGGAAGTTAGGATTTTTTGCAGAGAGAAATTTGAATGCAAAGGAGTTTAAGAGAGATGAAGGTGGAAAAAGTCTAAAATTTTGCTAAGTACCGATTTTATACCCTGGAAAGTTCAAGGGGTGAAAGAGGAGGACCGTCATATTAAAGTTAGATCGTGTGGCGAAAAAATTAAATTACACAGTATTCCAAGTGGGCGCGTTATGCGAGGGGGCGTCATCATTAAAGTGCCTGACACATGCGGCAGATGCGACACGTGGCAAAAAAGCAGGACCGACAGAAATGACTTGAAACAGACGACTCTATTGCTGGCAATTAATGGGAAATTATTTGAAAACATGAGCGGGAAAACTATGGACTGGTCGATATTGGAAGACGAGCCATCAAGGAGGTCGATAAATACCAATTCACTCTTAGATCGAGTCATCTAGACTCGACCAGAGTGGGGGGGACTAGATGATATGGGATATTATATACTCAAGGATAAACCGACCTACTTGGCCGGTCGGGGAAACTAAACTGAGGAGAAGCCAAACCGAAAGGAGTGGGAAGACCGAATATTCGCATAATTGACCAGGTGTATCGACCAGACATATGATCGAGAAAACTACTCGACCTCAGCAGGTCGATCGCATCGAGGAATCCGTAATCGACCTAGTTGTGGGCGCGTGTGCCGTAGGCGCGCGTAAGAGCCTCTAACCGAAATCCCCAGAGAATATTTACCCCATGTGCTGGGAGAACACGTGTCGATAACGTATTGGGTGATGGTGGAAATTACCTCTGACAACTCCCAACGCCCTGCGCCACCTCTGACATGTGCGCGGCGTGTCAGAGTACGGACGGGCAGCTTGGGCAGCCAACTCACCTTAGCCGGGCAGCTATTAGGGCAGGTATCTCACCGCTATATAAAGGGGGCGAGCCTTTTTCCCTTAACACATTCTATTCATTCTCTCAATTCCAGTATACTCATACACATACTGACTTAAGCATCGGAGGCTCTTCACCGGACCCAACCCCCGGTGTGAGAGTTATTTGCAGGTTTCCGGCGTTCTACCGGCGAGGACAAGAATCGATCTACTCCAAACTGGACCCGGACGCTTACACTTGCATTAGTAGTGATATTAAGTATAATCATGTATTTTCTATTATATTATAAACTAGTTATAGGTAATACCAATGCCGACTAATAATAATTAACAATAAATATAAATTACGTAATTAAAAATAAATAATGGTTTCAAGTTATTTATATTAACATCAATATTATCTTTTTTTTTTTGTATCTCATGAAAAAAATTTATTTAAAAACAATTACTAAATTGTTTTAATAGCATAATCAAACAACTTTAGTAGCTTATAAACAATTGTTTTTTTAATAATAATAATAATAATAATAATAATAATAATAATAAAAATAAATAATCAAACTGTTATTATCTAATGATAATAAACAATTGTTCATAATAATAAAATCGTTAATTTATTTTTCCAAATGATCAAAGTTTTGAAAATGTAATATGTTCATTATTTAGAATTTTAATATTAAATTCTCTAATATTACTTATAATATTTTATGTACACTAGTACGTAACCCGTGCGATGCACGAGCTGTATAATTTTGAAGAATAATATAATTTAATGTGTATTAGGATCGAAATCGAAATCATTAAAATACATAGGAACATTATTGAATCATAAAATGCTCGTGGCTTCGCAATCTTATATTATTAAAAACCTCTTTGCACACAACATTATGAGTTTGATTATTTGCTAACTCTACATTATCACAAACTAATATTTTCAACCCCCTTCTATAAGTTACACGTGAAACAACAACATATATTTCGTCGTGACTAAAAACAGGTTTCTTTAGAAAAAGACCGACGTGCGATAAAGACTGTCCATGACTCTTGTTTATGGTCATGGCATACGAAACCATAAGTGGGAACTACCGTCGTTGGAACTTAAATGGAATCCTAGTATCGGATGGAGTGATATTCATCCTAGGAATCAAGACCTTCTCGCCAGCGTGATGTAAATATCTTGCATTCGAGAACATGAGTAGATATTTTAGTCACAACCAATCGAGTACCATTGCACAGTCCCATAGAATGGTCCATATTGCGCAACAACATTACTGGAGTTCCAATCTTCAGGTGCAACTCATGGTTGGGACAACCAAAACATTTGATGCTATTCAAGAATTCTGGCGTGTGGAGATCTGCCAAGAAATAATTTCAAGAATCCAATTTAGATGTATTGTCTAAGCTCAAATACGTACGACCTTCAGAAGAATTCAAGTCAGACATGTATTGGTTGATGAACTCAACAACCTCCAACGTGGGAGCTAATATTGCCCTATCATTCAAATAACTCGGATCGTTAGTTGCGTTCTTGAACATTGGATAGGTACTTTCTACAATCGTAGCAACTGGATCATCTGAGGGATCCAATTTTATATCATCTGGAATTTCAATGGCGGCACAACCATCATTTGATCCTCCAATACTCGCAATCCAACCGGCAAATGCAGCCACCTCGCAATCCATTAATCTTATTACCACATCGTGACTGTTGAACAGTTGTTTGAGGAATACTACTCAATCCAGGTTCATCTTCACTTGTGAGATCAATTACGATAGTTTCTCTTCCAACACTTGTTTGTGCGTAAAAGTTGGTGTTCCGTTGAGCAGTCAAATTTGATTTCGGAGCATAAGATGATTGTATAGTATCTGCAAATTGAAATGAAACAAAAAAAAAAAAAAAAAAAAAAAAAAAAAAAAAAAAAAAAAAACTGAAATCTATATCCGAATCAAAATTGTTATTTATATATACTAATTATAGATGACATCACACAAAAATAAAATAGACTTACTCCAAATGCTAGAATACATATTTTGCGCCGATGTAGCTGACTGGATAGTTCCAAAAACTACAACAAAATAATCAAAAAAATTAATTTAATCTTTAAAAAGATGGTTTGTGTAAAATAAAACAATAATCAAAATTTGTTGTGTAAGATAAATAATATTTTTTTTACCATTTGTGATATCACATAATGGATTCCTTTGTGAAGTATGCAACACACCACGGGTATATTGGTGTTTAGACTGAGCATCACGCATAACTATAGAATGATAAAATATTATCTTTCATAAAAAATAAAACATACATGGTTATATGTGTAAATGTACATTTATTATAAAGCACAAAATTTTAAAGCCGGCTTGATTAATACAACAAATATTAATGACAATATTAAAGCCAATCTTTTTTTTTTTCCCAAAACGATAGAGGAATTATATAGAAACTCAAAGAGGACAAAGTCCTAATACAATGTCAATATACAATACAAACCGCAACCGAAAAATGAGAGACACGCCGCAACGATGGTCTAGAGCCTCTAAAAGAGGAAAGAACTCCCAAAAGCAGCCAAGAGAAGGAGAAGAGGAAAAAAAGAAAGATACAAGTGCCCTCTACTGCCAAAGCCTAGAAGGGTACATGATCAAAGACTAAACACAAAAGCAGAAAAGCAAAATGACAAATTAAAATTAATCCAACAGACCAAAAGCAGACTGATAATGCATCCAATCGGTTTGTGCCATTTTAATCACTGAAGCTGCTGGCATTAATGAATTTTGGAATATCCATAAGTTCCTTGACTTCCAGAGCCACCAAAGTATATATGTGGAGAGTTGTATTCGAGCTTCGGCAACCTCAGACTTGTCTAAGGAACTAATGTGGCACCACCAGGTTTTGAAAGAATCTCTGAAGTCAGAGATGCCATCCCAAGTCACAGGAGATAATTTCCAGACTCTTACAGCTCTAGAGCAGTTAAGCAGGACATGTTCAATGGTTTCAGATGCTTCTCCACAAAGAGAACAGATATGGTCTACAGGGACTTTTCTTTTCTTCAGCAAAGTGGCCACAGGTAATGTACCTGCTATACACTTCCAGATGAAGTGTTTTAGCTTCCCAGGCATTTTAATTTTCCAAAATCTGTATTTCACAGCTTTCACAAATGATTGACCATTACTGCATTCAGGGATATCTAATTGAGCAGCTTTGAGTTTAGACAGCTCATTGTATGTACAGGACACAGTGAATTGTCCTTTCTTATGCAGTCCCCACCAACATCTGTCTGATCTGTTTGGATGAAGAGTTTTGATTGTAAGAATAGCATCACTATCTTCTTTATCAAAAACATGTCTAACAAGCCATTCATTCCAGGCAAGGCCATTGTCCTCCAGCAGATCCTTTACCCAGATCAAGTGATTTCTTGCAAGAGGAATAAGAGTAGGAGATGGTTTCTTGAGAGCTGGTACCCAGTTGTAATCTGCTATTTTGGTAGAAGCTCCATTTCTGATCTCTGTGCAGATCCATTTTGCAAAGAAAGGTAATACCTCAAGCCATGAGTTCCACATCCATGATCCATTGTGAGACTTTTCTGCATGAGTGATGGCTGTGTGAGGGAAATATCTGTCCTTCAGTAACTTACTGACAAGAAGATTTGGATTTGTAGCTATCCTCCATAGTTGTTTGCAAATGAGAGCTTTATTAAGAATTTGCAGGTCCAAAAAACCTAAACCACCATTCATTTTGGGAAGAGACAGAACATTCCACTTTTTCCAATGAATTCCTGAGGACTGTTGATCATTAGATTGCCACCAGTAGTTTGCACATAGTTGAGAAATTTCAGCACAAATAGTCAAAGGTAGTTTGAAACAAGACATTGTAAAGATAGGTAAAGCCTGGATTACTGATTTGAGCAAGACCTCCTTTCCAGCTGGACTGAGGAGTTTAGATTTCCAGCTAAGCAATTTCCCTTTGACAGAATTTAGAATATAATCAAAAACTTCTCTTTTGGATTTACCTATTCCCAGAGGTAATCCCAAATACCTGGTGGATCTTTGAGGAGTAATTCCATTGAGAGCAGAACAGATGGTGTGCTGTAGAGGTTGTGGAGTGTTTCTTCTGAAAAAGATGGCTGATTTGGTTAAATTGACTGCCTGCCCAGTGAACAATCTGTATTTTTCTAGAATATTCATAAGAACAGAAGCTTGGTCTGCTCCAGCCTTGCAAAAAAAGAGGGAGTCGTCAGCAAATAGCAGGTGAGTGAGTAATGGTCCATTTCTTGAGAGTTTCAACCCTTTCAGATGTCCTCTGTCTACTGAGTGCAATATAAGAGCTGTGAGGAGTTCTGCAACAATTATAAATAAGTAAGGGGACAGAGGGTCCCCTTGTCTTATTCCTCGGGAAGGAGAGACATGACAACTGACTGTTCCATTGATTTTAAAGGAAAAGGAGGTTGTTGATATGCAGATCATGATTAAATTGACAAACTCCTTTTGAAATCCCATCTTCAGCATAATGTCCCTGACAGATTGCCATTCCACCCGATCAAAGGCCTTTATTAAATCTAACTTGAGAGCCATAAAGTAGTTGGGGCCTGAAGAGTGCCTGTTTAGATAATTAAAGGCTTCTTGTGCAATTATAATGTTATCCATTAACTGTCTACCCTCAACAAAAGCCGATTGATGGTCACTGATACAAACTTGCAGACATGCTTTCAACCTTTGAGCCAAGACTTTGGATATGATTTTGTAAACAGTAGTGCAAAGGCTTATTGGCCTAAAATGTTCTAAAGATTCTGGGTTGAGGCATTTTGGAATCAGAGAAAGGATGGTGTGGTTCCAATATTTGAGGAGCATACCTGACTGGAAAAATGAAAGAACAGCAGCAAAAAGATCCAACCTGATAAGCTCCCAAAAGTGTTGATAAAAAGTAGAGTTCATCCCCTCTTCCTCAGGTGCCTTGTCAGTTGGGAGATTGAATAAGGCTGCCTTAACTTCTTCCTCAGTAACTGGTTTCAATAATGCTGCATTCATGTCTGCTGTGATGGTTTGAGGGATCAAGT